TAGTTTTGTTTGTTGCCAGCAGCGGCTTAGGCAGACAGTAACAGATGAACATGTGTTTGCGTTTGTCTGTAATTAATTTAAAACCTTATTGAACACTGTCAGGCGAGCTGATCTCATACAATAGTGTTGAGTTTATTTTGTAAATAATTAATGTTCGCTTGAATTTATGAAGAAGAACATTAAGTTTAATTATTTATATATCCTATGTTCTGGCTAATTTCTGTTGTTGAATACTAGATATGAAAGATAGTAAAGGGATAAATTTTGAATATCCAACCGACTGCTAGCAGCCGGTTGGATATTGAATATCGAATATCGAATAACGAACCGGCTGCTAACTTCACATACATCAATGCAATTGCAAAAAAAAAACGACCAGATGAAAAACAATAGAATACAAATTGCAAAATCCCTATAATAGAAAACTAAAGACAACGTAACGCCTATTCAATCTAATACCGGTGGTGATCTCAGGTGCTTCTGAATGATTGTAAAATCTTTCTCTACAAGAAACAAACGTCGTTTTACTCATATGAAATACATTGATAAGGTTTTTCTACCTGAGAAATTATTACCTTAGAATTGCAAAGCGTTTAATAATTGTGTGTCCACAAATCTCTTCAACTTCGTACTTTATTATGCCTTTTTAACTACTTTTGTTTATCCGAGCGTTACTGATGAGTCTTTTTTAGACGAATTGCGTGCATGGCGTACAACATGTCAATCTTGGTATATATGGTGAGTTTATTTATATATGTATCAACTGATTAGTTGATTAGTCATCACGTAATTGTGGATTAGTACTTGGCTCTTACTAGTATCTAACCTTAAGACATCATCGAATTGTAAACCATTGGTCAAATAAATTGTCCAATCCTAGACCTTTGCAAAATGTTAAATTGTTGAATTTAAATAATAATTCAGTAAAATTATTGAAATTAATCGATATCCTGCTCCACGTGAATTCCGTAGGTCACATTTAAGGATAAGAAGACACATATACTCCAAAAAGGTCAACCGACTCGTCCGTAACATTTGCATGAGGATAATTCCAGCTTGGAACACTTGGTCTAAACATTGCCATGTAAGCAGCAACGATCGTTCATTGAAAACTATGCTAGGACATGCTAGCTCTTGATTATCGTACCAACTTGGAGATATATACTTTGTAAACCGGCGGTGCTGGAATGTGGCGTTTTTGAAAAGAAAGTCAGAAATTGAAATGCCGAAATCATCGTAAACTTTTCACAAGTTTCTGTTTATCTATTAAAATTAAGTTTGTGAAGATAGTTACCCAAAACAGAAGATAGTTAATTATGTAAATATCGTCATTTTAAGGGAATCATTCCTTATAGGAAAGGAAAAACAATATGAATTGTTGGTTTGATAGACTTGCTACATTAAGGAATGGAACATCTGTGGCTTTATGGTATGAATTATTCACTGTGTAAAACTATTTTGCCTCCATGTTGTATAATTTCAAAAATCAAAAAGCTAGATTGTTAGGGCGAAAATAAGGCCTTCTTGATCCTACTCCTTTATAACTTTTTGTCGCACATGTTTACTTTAATATATGGCCTAAATTTCTTAGTTTCCATTTAATACAGCAATTTATTTTCATATTTTGATATTTAAATCTAGGTCTGAGTCTAAACCTTGGCTAAGTGATCTTTTACTACAAAACAATAATGTGGACGTGGATAAATTGTCGTATTGGTTAAAGTCCATGAGTGCGTATTTAACTTTATCAGTGACTATGTGTAAAATTGCACATATATGTCAACATGGTCAATGTTGATATGATTATGTTTTTATAGTTACATGTTCATCATATCTTCCAGGTTTACTTAGTTTATCTTATCAATAGATATAACAACTTTAACATGTAAAATTAACGAAAGTGTTTTAAATTCTAGGTTCATATGAATGTAAGACACATTTATCTTTGAATGATATCATCGAAAAAGAATCCCTCTTCAATTGTTGATGGGTTTGAATCAAGACATACTCACAGGTTTCTGTTGCTACGTATTCGTAAACAGTCATACGTTCACATTATATCACCCTTTTTATCTTAACAATAGAATTATCATTATTTTATAGGACCGAAAATGTTTGAAATTCCAGGTCTATATGAATGTTAGACACATTTATCTTTGAATGATATCATCGAAAAAGAATCCGTATTTTATTTTTGATGGATTTGAATCAAGAAATACTCACAGTTTTATCTTACTACGTATTCGTATACTGTCATAAGTTCTGTATTTAATGCATTATATATACAGAATCCTAATCTGCCGTGTAAAAATATAAGAAGATGTGGTATGATTGCATACGAGTCAACTCTCCTCCAGAGGCAAAATGAAGTAAATGTTTGCAACTATATGTCACCATACGGTTTTTAACAATGAGCAATACCCATACCGCAAAACAATTTCAATAAGCCCCAAACATGACAAATGTTAAACAATTCAAACTAGAAGACCAACGACTTGATTTCTGTAGAAAACACTAAACAAAAGAAAAATATATACACAGCAACACACGCCAATCACTGAATTACAGGTTTCTGACTTGGAACAGGCACATACAGAATTAAGCAGTGTTAAAATTCTAATAGTTGCCCAACCTTCCTCTAACCTGGGACAGTGGTGCTACATTACAACATAGGAACACACTACACAAATCAGATAAAAAGAACTTAATTCATCAATTTGGTACAAAGCACACACAAGAACTACGAAAAACACTAAAGACGAAAAGTACACATCTGAAAGAAGAGATACTGAAAGCTAGTTCAAAACCAATAAAAAATAATAAAAAAAGTCCTGTATATAAGACTTAAATATCAATCATAACATCCAACATCTAATAGTGTTGTATCCGTTAAAACAAGTATTTAAACAAAGCATCAAATAGTTATACATTCAAGTATTCCAATTCGAGGTAATTAAACGCACTGTCATTTGTGACAGTTGTTCGTTGAAAATGATATACATCCATAGAATTGTAATTCAAAACGGAGATAAATAGACCACTTTTTTCGTTTTTTTAACAAATCTTAACACTAGTTTTGAAATTTTGAAAATGAAAAATAATTACACTTAACATTTTAAATAAAGTAATGACGAATGTTTCCTTTAGTTGTATGTTTACAAAAAGATTACAAAAAACACTTGGTGCAGTTTTGGAGTAATAATAATTGTGAAACATTAAAAAAGAGAAAAGTAATGACTGGTTATGCTTTATATTACAACAATGAATGAATAACACGATTTACAGACAACAACTAACGGCATCAACAGATCATGTGGATTACAGGTTCTAATCTTCTAATCTGGTGGACCAAATTACAAGATTGGTATCTTTGATGAGGTTTTACAACCATTGGATCGATGCCAATTCAGGTTGAGATTTTTTTCCGTCCCCAATGTTATCATCGATTTGTTTATTTTCTGTAAAATCACTGTTTATAAAATGTTGATTAATTCGAAACACTAACGTTTTTTTTTCTACTACAAGGCAAATTCCTTAGAGGTATTTGGTACATTTTTTTTTCTCCTGAATGCTCTTCAACTTTGCAATTGATTTGGCCTTGCAAAAAGTTTGAATTGAGCGTTACTGTTGCGTTTTATGTAGACGAAATACGCACCTGGTCTACCAAATCATAAGGTTGGTATCTTTAATAAGATTTCACAATCACCGGGCTGGTGCCAGTACTGGTTCCCTCCCAAAAGGTATCATGAGACCCGAAGTCATCACTTTTCTGTTGACATGACATAACGTTGGTGTATTCATTTTAAGGATATTTACTGTTAAAATGTTTAACTATTCAGCACACTAAGGTTTTTCATATCGCTATGCCAAGATTGTCTTAGTTGTGTTTGGCACAATTATTTGGATTTTTTATTTGGACATCAAAACTAGATTAGGTTCGAGCGCCACTGATGAGGCTCGTGTTGACAAAACACGCTTCATCATGTACCAAATAGTACGCCTAGTAGCTTTGATGAGTTTTTGGGGAAGGCACATAGAGAATAATTAAAAAATAAGGGAAAGTGGTATGATTGTCAATGACATAACTATCTACCAGAAATCGAAATACTTAGATTTTAGACGCCCCTAGTATGGTACGGCCTTCGGTCGGGAATGAACATAACAATTAACTATTAACCCTAATTCAGTTCCGTATAACGATGATTTTGTTGCCTTGTCAAATGAAGAAAACGTTTTCTTTTGACAATGTTGCTAAAGCCTAATTGAAGGTCGTACTTCACATCTTCTCATTTATAATATAGCAGGCAAACACCAACGAACTACTGAATTAAAGGCTCCTGAAATGGGACATGCACAAAAAGAATATGAAAGGGTTAAACATAGTTGTGAGCGCTTACCAGTCTCTTAACTTGGAAACTTCTACTTAGTCATGTTAGTACTTGCATTGCTCCTTTTTATCGATCAAATATCAGTCTATAAATGTATTGTATATTGGTCATCGGATAAAATTATATTTTACTTTAACGTCATTTGTGTATTTATAAACATAGAAGCTTGCATTCTGTATTTTTTTCACAAATATATACGAATACTTTTTTTTTAACAAGTACGCTTCTGTACTTCATACAAAATATCAAAACATAGAGATTAACAACTAAAAGTCACCATAAGACCTTAAACAATGAGCAACACACATATCACAAATTAAGCTATAAAAGGCCCCAAAATGACACAGGTAAAACAACTCAAACGAAAAAAAAAAAAAAAAAAAAAAACTAACATCCTGATGTGTTATTCCTTTTACGTTTATTGTTTTTTTTACACAAACCGGTTGATTGTTTTCTAGTTTGAATATTTTTTTACATTTGTAAAACATTTTATAGCTTACCATGTGGTATGAGTTTTGTTCATTTATGCAGACCAAACGGTGACTATTAGTTGTTTATTTCTACGTAATGTGTGCTTATCGCATCTTCTTGAAGGAATTGAAAGTCGTGATATGAAAGCTTGTATTTATTGATTACACCAATAACAAAACTTCTTTAAACATGTAAACTTATAAAAAAAAAAGCAACATATGAATTAGCTTATTTGTCGTTTCTATGTATGTTGGCGTTTGCTTTTGTTGGAGTTCAGTGTTTCTGTTGTTCCGTTGTTTTCTTCTTATAGTTAATGTGTTTCCCTCGGTTTTAGTTTGTTACCCGAATTTGTATTTTCTTAATCGAATTATGACAATGGAACAGCGGTTTACTACTATTGACTTTATTTATAATACATTAATGTTTGATGAAAAATCGATTTTGTAGTCCTTGTTATTACATCTTTGTGACAAGTTTCGTCTTCTTGTATATTTGGTCTCCCATTTTGACCCACATTGGAAGCTTTAACGTTAGGCCTTCCCATTCTTCTGGGTTATCTTTACAAGAAAAAGCGTGTAGCTGAAACAAATTGGGAATATATAAGTTTATAATGAAGTTAGTTGTTCAAGAAAATTAGGATGCCTTTGAGAAATTTGAATAATACACAAATAAACAAAAATGACATAGCTTATAGTGAGTTAGTTGTAAACAGAGGTTATAACATCGGCCAATATATCAAATGTATAATACAAGTCTATTGCACATGACCCTTTTTCGTGAACAATTTTTATAGGGAAGACCCAACGGATTTGAAGCCAATTAAATAAAATGTGTGTGGATTCACTAAACGCAAACAAACAAATAAGGAGAACTTTATGATCATGCAATTTTAGGCTTTATTTTACTGTACTTTAGAGTTACGATCAGTTTGAGGTTCAGGTTAGGTTAGGGTCTGTAAGGGTTACGTGTGTATATGGGACATGGTAAGTCAGGCCTATGGTTAGTGTAGCATATCGATCTATATGAGGTTTGGACCCCTAACGCAACAAAAGGCCAAATGCTAGATCCGAAATTTACAATTTTAGTTCAATTGATATTAAACTCAAAGTTTGAAACTTGAATACGTGTACTTCAAATCATGTGAATTTGAAAGACAGACCAAATTACTGTCTGATACTGAAATTTAATCAACAGTGGTACTAGTCAAGTATAACTGATATGATATATAGAACAGTCCACACGACACTTGTTTCTGGAATAGTATTCGTTAGGTACACTTAGGACTCTACGTTTTTGAAAAAATCATTAAGAAACATACCCGTCTTTCGCCAAGCACTTTAAAAATCTCAATCTCGATCTGTCCTTTACTGCGTAGTTCTAAAATTGAAGCTGCTTCGTCTCTCCAATATTCTACAAATTGTTCTAATGGTATACCTGTCAAAATTGTTTCGATCGTACAACAAAACATATATGGAGCAACAATGAACAGTTTTAAAACTTACAGTATAATCAAAGTATAGCATTCCAATTTGCGTTCATAAATAAGAATTATAGCGTACACATTTTTACACGTATTTGTACTTGATAAACTTAATCATTTTTGTAAAGAACTCCGCTCAAGTCTGTGCTACGGGCCGTCTTAAACTTACAGTGAAGTTGGAGTTTTTTTTTCTCCTTGTTGAAAGCCTCAGTGTGACATTGGGGTGACGAACAGCAATAAAAGTGCTGTTCCTTTGCTTTGTGTGTGTTTTTCCCGTGCATGTACTGATTTTGTGTCATGAATGGATACCCCATATCATTTGTTTTCAAAGTTATATTAAGTAATGTTTTGTTTTACCATTCAGCCACAAAGAAGTTGCCTTTGAATGGAATATGTTATCCTTCTGTCCACAAATGACAAATAAGTATAACAGGTGATATGGTAATGTAAAAATAAAAATTAACAATTTTCTGATGTTGACTTTGACATCAACTGCATATAAAATAGAGCAATACAAAATTATATAACTTCAACATGGCGATTAGTCTTAAACGACTAATTTTCAAACTGTTTCTTCGATGACGACAAACTCTCTTACATAGCATACGCGTAGTGCTATGTTATTATCATTAGTTTTCTTTTCAAATATCATATATTTCTGTGTCAAGTGTACTTTATCATATATGTTTAATGTAATGATTATTTTGTATTAGAGAAAAGATCTCCTCTGTTCAATATTTATACCACTTTGCCTCATAATCTTATTAAGAAAAAAATCACACACCTTATTAAATGGGCATTTAAAAAGTCAGAATGCGAATATATATGTTCAAACTCTTTTATGTCATTTTTTTAGTAACAGCAAACAAAAGAACTATGTCAAATGGACCTGCGTTGATACTATAACTGCCCTGGAATTTTTACTAGATAACATTTTTGTTCGCTATGGAGATTCCGTATATCGTCAAGTTATCGGAATTCTTATGGGGACAAACTGTGCACACTGGTTTCGGACCCGTTTCTGTATTGTTATGAGTTACAATTTATGACTAAAATCAGCAAAGACCCATCGAAATAACATCTGATACAAAAAATTAATAACACTTTTAGATATTTGGATGATATATTGGCTCTCAATAATGACGACTTCAGTATGTACACTAAAGAGATTTATCCTGCTGAACTGGCATTACATAAAGCTAATACTAACAATGAACACTGCCCTTTCCTGGATCCTGATATCTATATCTGTAACGGGAAGCTCAATACCAAAATTTATGATAAAAGCGATGATTTTTCATTTTTAGATGATGATGTTCCCTTGTCACCATCTTATGGTGTTTATATATCTCAACTTGTTCGATTCGCTCGTGTATGTAACAACGTATTTGATTTTAACGAAAGAAATCTCTGTATTACTGAAAAATTATTACACCAGGGTTTTCGATATCACAAACTAGTCAAAACATTTACTAAATTTATCATCGATACAAGGACACCATTCGTAAATATAAATCAACAGGCAGACATCTTATACGTTCAGGTATTTCACATCCATTCTTTTATGGTAATATTCTTAACAAAGCACAAAAATGTCGACATTCACCTCAAAAGCTAACCAAACCTTTAAACAGACTTATACATGAAGTTACGGAACTGTTGTCAGGTCATTAAAGATGGCATATTTTGGTATTAATATTGATTCACTCATAGGGTCATTGCATTGAAAATAAACACATCTATTCTAAAACCAGTTTTTGGCATGATACGGGTTATGTTCTTCTCATATATTGTATGATGGTATGATACTAAACCCCTATCGGGAGGGATTGCGCTTGATTTTCATATGATGAAGACACAATCGTTCAATCAGTTTAATTGAGGTCTGAGACCGCCTGACTTATGAATTGAACTAAGGTGATTAATGAAATCAATCAAAGACTTTCAAATTTCCTTGTTTTTATCTATATACCATAGGGAACAGCATTAAATATACTACATGGTGAGAAGAAGAGAATAAACGTATGGTAATGATTTAATTTTTCACCTTTTGTGCAATTTATTTAAAGACAGCACTAAAAATAGAACATTACACCTACATATAATGAGAACAATTCACTTAGTCGGACAATGTAAATTAATTGTTTGTGTGAGGTGTTGCAATCGGTCATCGAAATTGGACTTTGGACCCTGTGATCACTTGACCATACGTTTACCTATAATTCTAATACATATATAATGTCACTTAGTGAAACACGTCAGCTCTTGGAGGAGAGTAGAAAGATTGTAGAAGAAAATGGGGAGAACCAAATTGTACCTCTACTTTTGAACACCTTTATAAATCTAGTATCAATCATTGATAAAAGATTGCAGTCGGTAGAGAAAGTCATTGGCAAATTTGGTGACATAAAAAATATTATTACATCTCTGACAAGTCGAGTTATTACTACTGAGAAGGGCTTAAAATCATGCCAAGGTAAAATAACTGAACTTGAAAACAACATACAAGGAGTAGGGAATTTATTTGACAACCTAAAATCTCAATGTGATAAAAACAAGAGCCTCAACAACAAGAATACCAGTGAAATTGATAAAGCAAATACAAGCATTAATAAGGTTTCCAAAGACATTTCTGAAATAAAATCACAAGGTAGAACTTCGACTGATTGTAACTGCCAAGGTGAACTAGAAAAGCTTAAGGAAAGAGTGCTGGACTTACATTGTCGGTCTATGAAGAACAATCTTATCTTTACTGGTCTTTACGAGGTTAGAGATGAAAACACAGAAGAATTTCTCCGAGATTTCCTCTATAATGAAATTGGTATTGATTACAAAATTGAATTTGGTAATGTCCACCGTTTTGGACGCAGTCAACGTGGTATGAGACCAATCGTTGCACGATTCATATATCAATACGATTTGCAGTATGTGCTAGATAATGCCTACAGGTTACGAAATACTAGATATGGTATCAAACAGCAGTTTCCGAAAGAAATAGAAGACAGGAGGAAGCAATTGTATCATATCATGAAGGAAGCCAAGTACAATAGACGAAATGTGAAACTTGTACGCGACCGACTCTATATCGACAATGAACTGTATGAGATACACGATGACATCGACACATTTGACCGCCATAGCCATCCGGAAGAACGTAACGATGCCCCGCATATTAACGAACAGTCAACGCCAAACTCACAAGGGGATCGCAGATCCATGAAACGGCCTCGAACCAGCTCAACCCCTTCACGCATTTAGGAGCGCCGAGGAGTACACCACCTTGAGACGTCGAACTTAAATCATAAACTTGGTGCTACATTTAGAAAAATTGACAATGTAAATAATACTAGTGTAATTAACGATGTTCGTATTGAAAATAGTGATCTTACATTTGATTTGTCTAGTTGTAATATATTTAGTGGGCAACACTATAATGTAATAAACACATGTACTAATGATTATAATACAATAGATATATCACCTAGTAATATACATGTAGGGGGTAATACATGTATTGATGAAATATATGATCAGATTGATATGATTTTTAATGTAAATGTTGAGATTGAAAATGCAAAGATTTTAGATGATGAGAGCCCAAGCCATTCTCTAAACAGTGAATCTTTGGATCTGTCTCAGGAAAAAACTACAAATATTCAAACCATAAACCTTATTTACATAAATTGTTGTGGCCTAAAACATAAGTTACAATACCCAGAATTTATTACAAAAACATGATATTTTATGCTTTGTCGAGTCCAAAACTGACGATATGGACGAAATTTGTATACCGGATTATAAGGTAAAAGCCAAAAATAGACGTAAGATATCTAGAGTGAAGTCCGGTGGTATTGTACTCGGGTATAGGGAAAATATTTCGAAAATATTTCGAATTGTATCCAAGAAATTGAGACAAATAGTAAATTTGTTCTATGGTGTAAGATTTCAAGACTATTCAAAGACGGGGACGTTATCCTCGGTGTTGTGTACATACCACCAGAATACACTGCTTATTCATCACCTGATGCTTTCGGTGAAATTGAAAGCGAGTACCTAGAACTCTCATCCATATATGAAAATATATTTATGGTCGGGGATTTTAACGCCCGCACGGCCAGTGAGAAAGATTATATTTTTATTGACGAAAATGATAAGAATAATGAGTTAGAAGGTGTATCTATTAATGATGTATGTAACCTAAACCTTTTTAATATACCCATTGATCGTAATAGTATGGACAAAGGGAAAAACCGTTACGGTAATCAATTACTTGAGTTATGTAAATGTAACAGCTTATTTATTATGAATGGCAGACTAGGTACTGATAGAGTTGGAAAATTTACCTGTAGAAACGCAAGTGTAGTAGACTACTGTTTATGTAAGGTTAATTTCATTGAAAACATTATTAATTTGAACGTTTTAGAATTTTCTCATTTGTACTCAGATGTACATTGCCCTTTGTATATATGTTTGAATTGTAATCAATCTGTAAATGAAGACATTGAACAGAACAATTTCATTAGTCAATCATATAAAAAAGTTAATAAATGGGATCATGAAAAGAAACCTGAATTTAGAGAGAATTTAAATTTTGAAAAACTAGACAGTTTATTACATGATTTAGTAAATGTAAATTTGGAAAGTATTAATGATGACATGATAAACTCTTTTGTGAATGAGATCGGATTAATCCTAATAGAATCCGCAAGGGAGACTTTAGGAACAAGATCAGACAAGCCAAAAAAACGAGCATCCAAAAACAAGGGAGATAAACCTTGGTTTAACCTTGAGTGTAAATTTGAGAGACAGAATTATAGAAAATTTAAGCGCAAGCTGAAGGCAAGGCCTTCGCCTTTATTATCTAATAAAGTTAAAGAATCTGAGAAAAGATATAAAAAGGTCATGGACAAGGCTATAAAAAAACATAAAAAAGATATGACTCGAAAATTAAAAA